GCCAGGTGCCGATCACGTGGTTTTGGGTCGTGACAAAGGTATACCCCCTTTGACCGGTAGTAGCAACCAGAAGAGAGAATCAATCATTTTCGTTAACTTATACTCTTGAAAGAGTATCTCCGTCTCCCCCGGATGGATTGTTTGGGTTGTCTCTTATTTTCCTTTGAAGAGAAATCGTTTCAACGTCATCTTTGATTACTTCTTCATGAAGGACCACTATTTCCGATCCCGGAAGGATCACCTCTAAGACCGCAGACTATGTTTTCTCCCCAACTTTGGAAGAGAGTTTTCTTCTAGCCCTCTTCTCTTGAGGCTAGGGAATGCCGGATGATGCAGCTCCACTAGAAGCAAATTTCGCTTTACGAGCCCTTTTTCGGCCAAGGACTTGTTGGAGCTGTTATTTAGCCACCTTGGAGTCGAATGAAATCTCAGCGATCAGGCAAACATATGATCCCTTTGGAAGGCCTGGAAATGGAAAACAGAAGGTATTTTCACCATAAAAATTTACACTTCCAATTTTTCTTTATTAAAATTTCTTTCCACGTACGGAATTCTGGCATGGAAGTATCCAAAATTCTTTGAACCCATCGGGGTAAGTCTTCAACTATGAGAAACACCCAATGGGTAGCTAAAAAGAAAAAGAAATAAATGCTTAAAGAGGGTGAAAAATTAATAAAAAGAAATAAAACATGCGGATAAGAGAATGTACGAGTATAATTTCATGACTCGGGAATTGGAGGTCCAGATGTAGGAATGATGTCCTTGGAAGCGATGGTGGAAATTGGATCACTTGGAGAAGATATGGTAAAAAAATAATCAACGTTTAATGACAAAGACTTAATTATTTTTTCTGGTAATGGAAGTTGTGGTAGAAGAAGAAGACAGATTGCGAAGATTTGAAGAGTGTCGAAGGAATTTGGAAAAGAGTGAAGTAAAAAGTTAAAAGAGGAGTAAGTTTATAGACGGCCTTCAAACCAAAGTTATTATTACCTCGGTAATTAGCAAAATTCCTCGTCAAATCACAGAGAGGCACGTGTTAGGATCAATAAATACAAAGAGACGTGCATCCTTTCAAGTGTCAAAAGCCGTTCAAGAACTTTCTCGCCAAGAAATGAAAGGTCTTATCTACTTCCCGGTCATATCAAGTTGAGTCACCAGTAAGTAGGGGACTATTTGTATTGGATAAAATTTAGAGTCCACAAATAGACACCTTATGCACAGACACGTGGCAGTGGTGATAGAATGAAGGTGCGTCAACAACCAGATAATACCGAATAAAGATATGTGATCAGTAACATATAAAACAGTTCCCGGAGACGCAAGGCCCGGAGGAATGAATTTAAAAACAAGACATCGATTGAAGGAAATCAAATTAAAGGAGCAACCATTACAGAAGATCTCAATATTTATTCCCAATGTTATGCAACCATTAAGAGGGATTTTTATTCATCTTTAATAGGCGATATTTGATGATATTCTCTCTCTAAATCTAGCTATAAATAGAGGCATTTGTACTCATTGTAAGGACATAAGAATCATCAAGAACAAACCTTCCTTCGTTTATCTTCAATTCTGTAGTTCTATCCAAAAATACTTTTATGAGCTTCGCTATTAATTTCACTTTGGTGGTCTTCATCTGGAATTCATGCTTGTTTCATTCTTTAAGTATCTTTATATTTTGTTAATTTATATTTATTATTTGCTAATCAGATCATTCTAATTCACGTATCTATAAATCAAGTATATAAATTCAACGGTACCTTTTTACAGATAAACAAGAATAACTACGTGACATTAGTTGTTACAAGTTACAAACAACTAATTGGGTTAATATTGATAGCTTGACTAATATTAACTCTGTTTTATGAATTTGTTAATATTGATAGCATCTTTGCTCTAAAAGGCCAAAATGGGTAATTTTTCCTTAAATTATTTCCATATTTATCTAAGTAAGATTCCTTTTCTTCTAAGAAATAATGTTATCTATTTTTGTATCATGAAGTTGACTTGTAAAATCAATAGGCGAAATGGCCTCGTGGCCACTTAAACTTGTACGAGGTTTCAAAGCCAATATATAACTTACATCAGTTTCATTTGAACACTCAAACTCGCATATTTGGTAACTAATAAACTTATTTGACCGTTGACCATGCACATGTAGTAGTGACAAAGGTAATGTGGACAAAGTGTGTGCAAGTCACGTAAACTAAGCGTGTCACTATAATAATTTTGATTAAAAAAATCCGAAATAAAATAAAAATTACAAAGAAAAAAAGAAAATAAGCCACCCTCCAAAATCATTAATACCATTTTGGTTTCTTTTCCCTTTTCTCTATCGTCGTCTGCGGCCCCCTCCCCTCCTCATTTTCTTTCTCCCCCCACCC